TGTCTTGACCAATGCATCCCAGGACCAATGTGATATCCTGCGAAAACTCCTGGAATAGAGTCAGGCCCAAACTTGTGGAGTTGTCCTGCCTCTCTGGTCTTCGGAGGTTTGTAGTTCACACGAGCACCATAGGGAATGAGTTTTCCAGCAAAGTCGGTTCCGTGGAGTTTACACCAAGCACTAAGCTCATCATCGTTGGGTTCTACGTTGAGTAAATGACATACGCAAAGGATTGCAGTTCTCCAGAAACATGGTGGTAATCCCGCTTCCAATAGGCATGTAGAAGTAGCAGTCAGGATGAATTGATTCGTTCTTTCGGCGATGGAATTTGTTTGAGGTCTTCCAGGCAATGAATGATCAATTGGAATCTTCATCTCATTCATGGCTTCGATGAATTGTGGAGCATGATCAGAATAGGCCTGTCTAACCTTCTTGGCGCCGATGAACTGCTTCACTGCTCTGAACACTTCGTCCTTGGTCATCCTATCAGACGGATAAGCATCAATGATTCCTGTAAAACAATCTCTGACGACCAACACTTCCTTTTCAAGAACCGACACATCGTCATGGACTTTGGATGTGTCGACGGCATCAAAGGTAATGAGGTCGCCAAACTTCTTGAGTTCCCTCTAGTATGCACCACGACGAGTCTTGAAGTGTTTCATCTTTGCGCGAATGCATGAGTCTCAGTATGGATTCTTGTATCTGTGAGTGAACTTGTGATTCAAACTGTTTGCTTCCCTTTTGAGTGTTCCTCTCTTGGCGACCCTGGACTCACCTTCAACAACATCGATCTCGATGTCATCTTCATCACCTTCAGCGGCTTCTTCAGGAGCTCCATGTCCTTCAACTTCAAAGTCGGTTTCTTCACCATCTGGAGGACCATCAAATGGAGTTCCTGGTTCATATTCACCATCTTCAGGTGGGGCTTCTTCTCCACGTGATGCCACTCGTCTTCGTCGGTTTGCTGCTCTTCCTTTCTTCTTCTTCTTGAGCTTCTTGACATGTTGGGAATCATCTTGACCATTGTTTGACATCTCAAGACCACTTTCTCCATCAAGATGTACTCTTCGAGATGTTCGGCCAATCTCATCCAAGTCATCGAAATTGTCGAGACTGTCTTGAAAGTGTTCAAGTAGGTCATGGATCTTCGACGTTTGATGACATTCATATGGAGTGCATTCATATGTCCCAAGACCAACGTAGGGGATGTTGTCGTGGATTGTCAAGTCGATACGTCCCCCATTCTTCGTGATCATGAATGGCATTTTCCCAGAAGGCCACACGAAGGAATATCCTTCTCCCATACATCGTTTCCCAAGAGACATCACCGATGGAGTGTCATCTAAGACATAGGCTTGTGACGTTATGTCAAAGGTTCCCAAGTCAATCTCGGCTTCTGTGTGTAGCAGTTGAACCGTTCGCAGTGTGGAACATGATGGGATCACAAGTTCGTTTCTTCAAGTTCATTCTATCGGCTTTTCGTGCAGAGATCAGATCGTGTCCGCTACCAGAGTCAAGAACGAATCTGCGATCTTTGGCTTGTACTGGTAGTGAAATGCACATGAGATTCTTGGATTTCTTGAGGGATCTTTCATTTTCATGTTCAACAAGCTCCTCCATGAAGATTAAATCATCGTTGACAGTGTCCAATCTGACCAACATGTCGAACTTCGGGCCAGTAATGATTCTCACTTCATCTACATCACGATGGAATCCAGAGTTGTCCATTGATAGCTCTAGCCCTTGCCCGAGTTGAACCAAGAGTGTTGTCGGATTTGGACTGGTCATCAATTAGGTCATCGATCTTCCTGAGAATATAGGGCTTGTTGGAATCACGATAGATGCGCTTGGGCAATCCCTCCGGGTAGTCTTTGATAGGAATCTTATGCACTTCAGGCTCCAGGTCAAACGTGATCTTGCGAACATCAGAAGACTTCTTTGCGCTGGCTACCCTCGGCGAGGAATAATCCATTGCATCTTCATTGTCGCTATCAAAGAAGGAATCGATAGTAATGGGAGTAGCTTTCTTCTTCTTGTTCTTGTTACTGGCTCTTTCAGAAGATGCTGACGGTGATTGGTCTGCATGTAGGAATTTGCACTTGCTTCCAAACGTACAGGTACCTTTCTGCCATTGCCAGCAAACTCTCTTCTTAGGTCCAGCAGATGAAGAACTTCCCTTACTTCTCCCTCCTGATGAATCTCTGCTTCGGCTTCTACCTTTCTTTCCTTTCATTTTGGCATCATAGACTTTCTGAGAATGACTGTAGAGACATTTGTCACCCTTGTTGCATCCACCTTTATTGAAGAAGTAATTGCAAAAGATCTTCTTCTTGTCAACGGGTGATGACGATCTTCCCTTCCCGCCTTTACCTTTGCCTTTCTTGTTGTTCTTGTCGGCATGGGACTTCGGAGAAGGTGTTGGAAGTATGGAAGCAGCTTCATTCTTCGCCTTGGCTTTGGGCTTCACTTTAGAAGGATCATCGTTGGATGAGGCAGCTGCTACGTCTTCCTTCTTCGTCTTGGTGGGAGCGGCAGGCTTTCCGGCGTCTTCCAAGGCTGGTGTAGTCTTGTTAGAGGTCAATGACATCTTAACTGCACGCTCTCTTTCTTTCAACAGTCTTTCTTGTTTCCCTCTAGCGATGTACCCTTTGATCATGTTAATCAGGAAATCATAGGTCTTTTCATGATGCCCTTCATCAAAGGTGCGATATCGGCTGATATCGAAATGCATAAGCTTCGAGTGTTCAATCTTCCGGAACAAGGTATCACGCAGTGAGTTTACCCAGACCCTCAACGCAATCCATTTTTTGTATCGCATTTTTAGATCTAAAAATTGGATCGCCGAGATCCATTTTTTGGATTGCATGCCTTGATGGCCTAGTTGGCACAGTGTGCACTCAACAACAGGGGCTATCAGTTTGCAGTGACATCGTCCAACAACGGACACGAAACTGCTTGAACTTTCCATTTTGGACAGAACACATGCGCTCTTCCACTTACGGCTTAAGGGCCCATCTTTTATTGGCGCAAGTGCGCGCGTAGAAACGGTTTCGCGCCCGAGAATGTTTTCACCCGTGAAATCACATGCCTCCGAGCTGTTACACTTCCCAACTACTTGATGATGGGTGGTTGACATGATGATGTGGTCGAGATGATGGTGGGAATGCTTCGTCCATAACTCAGAAGTTTGCGAACTAAACTTCCTTTGTTGAACTATTTAGTGTGTTCATATATATGTATTATATGTAGCAAAATACACGCACGCGTGTCTGTCTACGTATGTAGGTCAATCAGTGGTTCTGGGAAACGCCCACCCTTCCACCCATGGCCACATGGCCAGATCTGATAACTCTTGTTTTTCTCCGGCGCTCCATGTGTCAGATCTCAATCTAACACAGCCAGCGTATTTTCCAGAAGTTCCAACGTGCTGTTTATGCCAGCCACCACACTGGAGGGTTCCTGGTGCCAGGGTTCCAGCTCTAGCATTTGGAGGGTTGCTATTTGTATGGCATCTTTTAAACACAGTTTCAAATCTCAAACATTTTCAGCACAGGCCAGATCCTCTCGAACCACACTTCGGGAAAAAGAAGTATCCCAAAGTTTTTTGTAGGCAATGGGTTTCTTCGTGAATGCTGCGTCTTGCTTGTGGTATGCTGCCGCCCAAATATCAATGACACACTGACAGAAAGCAGGGGTGTAGATTCCAGATTCTTTGAGGTGGGAACCTCCCGTCACAAATAACCGACGTTTGCTCTTGGACCGATGTTTGAAGTAGTAGGTCTTCTGGTTCTTCTCAAGGATTTTTTTTCGGAATTTCATCGCCGTTCTCAGATACCTGGGGCGCACACAAATCACCCTAACTTTACCTGTGTAAAAATGGGGAAAGTAAATATAAATATATATATATGTCTTTATTTCTTATTTACATATATATATTTTTTTATATTTATACATATGTATACATACATATATACGTCTATATACCTAGATATATAATCTATATATATATATAGATTCTGGATGACGCTCCCAAGAAAACTCAATCGTTTGCCCAAATGCTGGTTTTTTTTCAAGAGCATCCGACGTACTCCTGGAATACCAAGTAAAATGTTTGTTTGGATCTTGTCCCACTTTTCCTGGAGTTTTTTCGACCAGGTCCGCTCTAACGGTTTCATCACATCCTCGATGATGTTTACCATAAACACGGACGGTTTTGGTAAAGGGTGTCCAAAACATTTCATCCAACTGTGGATTCTGACAGCATCGATTGCCAGAAGAAATCGTGCCAGCTCAGGGAAAATCCAAAGCACGCTGCTTGCAGGCTGCTCCATCCTGACTGTGGCTCAAAGGATTGTGCTTGGAAAAGACTGCAAAGGATCACCTTTTTTGGAATATATATAGGGAATAGCCAGCCCCAAAAAAAACATCAAAGTGCTGTCAAAGCACACGATAAAGATAGAGCGGGAATGCGCTATTGCCAGCAAAACCACCAGATTCACAATCAGCTGGTTGGCATCTCTCACTTTTGCTCGCATTTGATTTCCGTACGGGAATGACAGGCACCTCATATGAAATGAGCTGGCAATGAAGACGAACAGTCCACACGGTGACCCAGACATAAGCACTCCACGTTCCACCTTGGGGCGGGCAGCGACAGTTGTGAAAAAATGTTTTTAACAGGAACATTTCTTAGCCAATTAACACACCACCACGGGGATTAAACAACTGCCAAGTTGATCGGCCAGGCACCAGAGAGAGAACCAAAAGGAGCGCCTGAAAGAATCCTTCTTTAGTAAGCAGATTGTTGTTGGTGGGATCTCTCAGAATATCGTAGCCAGCAGATGTCAATCCGTTCTTCTCACATTGGGCTTCAAAATTTCCAGACCCCGCAAAGAGATCTAGTGATTGCAGGTCCCGCGGCCCTTTGAAATCCTGGACCCTTGTATGGATCTCATCTAAATTTTTAGAAGCATCGAAAGTAGAATCTTCAGGAAAAACTATTCGAACATTGTGATCGAATGCCATGGCATGGATGCTTTCGCTACCCTAGGCAGGCTTGGGGCAGAGCTTCGATATGAGATGTTATGGGACGGCAGCCAGCCAATTGGAACCAACAAATTTCTAATGAGTAGGGATTCCCACACAAAGTTTCGATTCTCAGCACGATAAATGTAGTCAGCGACTTTTTGAAACATCTTGGCGGTAGCCAGATCGCGGTGCTTCTTGTGCAAACCTTGGCATTTCCAGTGAATCACATTTGCCCAAGTCCTCCTGTGGCATGCCCTTGCAATCTTGGCTATTAATCCATTGAAGGATTCATCCCTGTACGTGCTGTATTTGCGTGGGTTTCCTTTGAAAAGCGCACGCTGAATAAGGTGAATCATAAAGTGACACTTTGGGGTAATGGGTCCATCAGCTTTGCTGTAGAACCGCAAAAACCTAAGGTATGTCCCCAATGCTTCCTGCACTTGTTTTCTTGAAAACGTTTTAGATTCAGCACTAAACACTGTATCCAGTTTGTTTGCTGCTTTTGCAGCCTCAAAAAGATATTTCCCCTTCCTTGCCATGTTTTCTGGCATCCGGGATGTGAAAGTATCCATGTGCGTCTCAAGCAGGTGGCAAACAAACTTTGCGAGACCATGCGATTCAGCAGCTTTCGCATGCAGGCTCGGATTGTCGTAGGTGCCAAGCATAGTCAAAGTCAGGTTCCAGACCTTCAAGGGTTAAAGACAAATAATTAGTATTAAGAATGCAGTCATTCCCATAAGATCATTTTGGTGGGTTTAAGCTCCAAGGACAATATTTACATGAGGATCCTGACTAGTATTCTTTCTCAAACATTTGTGGGGCAATGAGAAAGGTTGAACCTACTTTCCAACCAAAGGGCTTCCGAAGATTTCCCAACCCAATCTGGATCCTTCCGCTTCTCTTTGTAGAATTGGAACAGTTCTGCTTTGACAGCGAGAAGTGACAGGTGGCGTTTGTCTTTAGCATCCAGACCATCAGTTTGCGGTGCCCACAAATTGGAGTCAAGACAATAATTCAGAGCTAAGCTAACAAGTAACTGTAGAGGGCCTAGATGCCAGCCGTGGAGAATGTCGAGGCTCCATGTCTGCAACCCAACTCCAGCTAGTTTGAGCAAAGGGCAATCGTGTAGTAGCCTTCCATCTACATGCCCCGCCCACCAGTGGCATTGAAATGGCACATCTGTGAATTCGAATGCAGCTACATCAGGCAGAGTAGGTGTAGGCATCAGCCGACTGAATTTTTTCAGCCCAAATTCCGGCAAGTCTTTCACAAGGGTTCGGCCCCGGTACTTTTTCTTGTACTGCAATTTCTGATAGATCTTGGTTCGCATCTCAATTGTGCTGACGTCCAATACCTCAGCGAGATTTAATTCCATTTGTTTGGCAAACTTTGTGGATAGCAAAACAACCCATTTGTAACCAAACATTTTTGAAAACATTTCGTTGGGATCCAAGGGGCATTAACGCTTTGATCAAGATCCTGCAGATAGTCACTGGTTGTATACTGCTCGAAAGGCATCGAATCCACAGTTGTATGGTTCAAATTCAATTCCTGTAGCTGGTTCTGATCAATGCGACAAAGTGGACATGGATGGGTGTTGTGGCTCCAGTACCGAAGCCCAAATACTTGTAAAAATGCTGGCCAATCACCCTGGATGTCCAGGACCGCGTATCGAACCAATGGAGCAGTCTCCAAAGCCTGGAGGTCAGACACGCAGGCTCCAGCAAGGGGTGCAGGCTGCACCACCCACGGCAACCACATTGGCACATCTCATCGCTGCCTAAGATAGTTGGTGTAAACACAACAAATTATTCAGAAATTAAGTGAGTGGAGTGGCTGTGTTTTTGCTGTCCTCAAAATCTCCTGAAAAAAGACTTCAGACTTAAGGACTGAGTTTTGGACGAAGTAGGAAGGAGAGGAATTTCTGGTTGCTCAAGATGTCTGTGACATAGAAAGCTGTAAAAGAATCGTTCTTGGTGTAGGCAACCCCATCCCAGTATAGAGCTAGCGGTCGAACTTTGGTCTTGAAACCTTCAGCTTTTGCTCTAAGAACGACAGGGTGCTCGTTGTAGCAATCCAAGCCCCCAATCACTTTTTCAAAATCTTTCCGTGGGTGGCAGTAAACCATGTCATCCGTGATATGATCTCTGAAAGCTTGGGACGGCAAGTAAATGGGAATTTTCTCACAAGTTCGAGTGGCATTCCGCTTGATGTAGGCAGGGCAGTCAATGTAAGCCAGGTCAATGTCATCGTAAATTTTTCCTGCATGCTTCTGAACATGTCGATGCCCATTCTTTGAGGCCGAAGATGGGTTCAGCGCAAGATCACTGACTCCCAGGCCGCCAGCTTGGGTGATGTAATGGGATAACAGAGCTACGTCAGAACCAGGCATCCCTTCTGTGCAGAATTTGTCTAGAAGAAACTGTCTCAGTTCCAATCCAGCTTTGCGTCGGAGTTCATGTTGCGGGTCATCAGCTAACGATTGCGCATGAGCAAGTTGGGCATCTAGTCGTGCTTTCTTATACATGGGGGGCCACCAAAACTTGAACAAAAATTTGATTTCAGTCCCCATGCATGGGCGGTTTCAAGTGGACACGTGAGGCCAACCCCAACCATATACAAGTACAGCCATACATTGAACAAAACCTGTCAGCTTTCAAAATCAACATCCCTGCAGACCACGCCCTTGAAGATTTTGACATCAGTTTCAAAGGTGCACAACCGTTTGCCCAGAGCCCCCCTCTGCGCGTAACCCTACACGAGCAGCTAGGTGTTCGTCACCTAGCCCAAAGATCCTAGATAGAATCAAACTTGGCGCACAGCTTTTGAAAGAACATCTATGCCAGTAACTTTCCAACCTAGAATCTTTATTAATCATGCGTTTGGGTTGAGATGGCGCTAGCGCACAAGCTTTGACATTTGAAACCCCTTGTGAAAAGAGTAAGGACTATAGACTCAGGCAATGCGAAGCTTCTTGCTCTTGGGTCCTTCTGGTTCGACCATCGCCTGTGCCATCTTGTGGACTCGTGTTGCCAGACCATGCATCCTGAGAAGGGGCAACGAAGTAGCAAAAAACATAAGACCCAGATAATTTTTTGGGGGGAAAAGAAGCATGAGAAAAAATTGCACTTGTGAAGATGAGATTCCCTGCCGCGATTGTCTGACAGCGGTCCACAAAGAGGTTCATGAAGGAGAGGTAATCATCCTTGTAGGTCTTCTTCAAGCTGCGGATGCCAGTCTTGCCCAGGATGCTAAGCTTCACACTGTCAACGAACTCTGTGATGTCTTGACCTTGTTCCGGAGTCATCGCGTCTCGAAAGCTAGTCACCATCTCTTTGTACTCTTCGATGAAGCTCTTTGCCCACCGATACTCTGAAGGCAAATCATCTCCTTGGCCAGCGACCTTCTCCATGATTTGGGTTGCCATTTGGTGATTCGATAGAATCTCCTTCACTGCCTTTTCTGCCGCCTGCTCTGCCGAAGCCTCTTTCTTGGTCCTACCCCCCCTGCTGCTTTGGGCTTGGGAGTGGCTTTGCCCTTAGCCTTGGCCTTTGCTTTGGCCTTGGCCTTGGGCGCGGGTGCTTCGCCATCCTTGTTGGGAGAACCTGCTTCTGGTGAAGAGGGATCAGTAGCTGCACTGTCAGACGTCCCAGACGACGTCTCACCATCATTGAGGCCAGGGATGCACACATTCATTTCAGCCCATCCTTGGAGACCTTGTGGACTAGCAGCAACTTCTTGGACGTTGCAACTTTCAACAGGAACCCCATAAAAGAAGGCGTATTTCCTCACTGCCTTGCACTTGAAGCTCTCTGTCTCAAAGGTTCCCGAGGAGTCAACCAACTCCGCAACATCCTTCCAAGACTCCTCCTCACACTTGGACACCAGCTTCTCGACCAAAAGGTAGTTGTCAGCCTCTGTCCAGGTGTTGTAGAAGACGAAAGCCTCCTGCCAACATGCGGTTGCAGTAGGTTAGGAACATAACCCTATGTCTCTTTGAACTGGGTGTGGACTGTTCTTTTGCACATATATTACACACATAATATATATATATACCGTTAAAATGAAAGTTAGAATGCCTCCGCGAATTCCAAATATTCCTCCCCCCCAGTTAGAATGCGGCCCGCGCACGGCAAAAAATCCTTCAGTTAGAATGCCTCCCCACCCGGGTTTTAAGTTTTTTTGTTTTTGGAGAACCCTTTGCACAAATCCCTCACTTAGAATGCCTTCGCACTATGAATATCATCAGATGTTAGAATGCAGTTAGAACGCTTCCCCCTTGAAATTGCTTTCTACCAGCATTTCAGCAATTAGAACGCTTCCCCCTTGAAATTGCTTTGCCAGCATTTCAGCAGTTAGAATGTTTCCCCCTTGACATGGCTTTTTACCAGCATTTCATCGGTTAGAATGCTTCCCCCTTGAAGTTGCTTTTACACAAGCATTTCAGCAGTTAGAATGTTTCTCCCTTGAAATTGTTTTTTTAACCAGCATTTCAGCAATTAGAATGCTTTTCTTGAAATTGTTTTTTTACCATTATTTCATCAGTTAGAATGCTTCCCCCTTGAAATTGCTTTTTACCAGCATTTCAGAAGTTAGAATGCTTCCCCCTTGAAACGGCTTTTTACCAGCTTTTCAGCGCTTAGAATGCTTTCCCCTTGAAATTGTTTTTTACAAGCATTTCACCAGTTGGAATGCTTTCCCCTTGAAATTGCTTTTTACCAGCCTTTCAGCAGTTAGAATGTTTCCCCTTCATATTGTTTTTTAGAAAAGCATTTCAGCAGTTAGAATGCTTCCCCCTTGAAATTGCTTTCTACCAGCATTCCTGCAATGAACGCTTCCCCCTTGAAGTTGCTTTTGCCAGCATTTCAGCAGTTAGAATGCTTCCCAGCATTTCAGCCGTTAGAATGCTTCCCCCTTGAAATTGTTTTTTTAACCAGCATTTCAGCAATTAGAATGCTTTTCTTGAAATTGTTTTTTACCATTATTTCATCAGTTAGAATGCTTCCCCCTTGAAATTGCTTTTTACCAGCCTTTCAGCAGTTAGAATGCTTCCCCCCTTGAAATGTTTTTTACCAGCATTTCATCAGTTAGAATGCTTCCCCCTTGATTTTTTTCAACCAGCTTTTCAGCAGCTAGAATGCTTCCCCGTTGAAATTGCTTTTACACAAGCATTTCAGCAGTTAGAATGTTTCCCATTTGAAATTGCTTTCTACCAGCATTTCAGCAATTAGAACGCTTCCCCCTTGAAATTGCTTTCTACCAGCATTTCAGCAATTAGAACGCTTCCCCCTTGAAATTGCTTTTGCCAGCATTTCAGCAGGTAGAATGCTTCCCAGCATTTCAGCAGTTAGAATGCTTCCCCCTTGAAGTTGCTTTTTACACAAGCATTTCATCAGTTAGAATGTTTCCCCCTTGAAATGGCTTTTTACCAGCATTTCATCAGTTAGAATGCTTCCTCCTTGAAGTTGCTTTGACACAAGCATTTCAGCAGTTAGAATGTTTCTCCCTTGAAATGGCTTTTCTACCAGCATTTCAGCAATTAGAATGCTTTTCTTGAAATTGTTTTTTACCAGTATTTCAGCAGTTAGCATGCTTCCCCCCTTGAAAAGGTTTTTTACCAGCATTTCAGAAGTTAGAATGCTTCCCCCTTGAAACGGCTTTTTACCAGCTTTTCAGCGGTTAGAATGCTTTCCCCTTGAAATTGTTTTTTACAAGCATTTCAGCAGTTAGAATGCTTCCCCCTTGAAATTGCTTTCTACCAACATTTCAGCAATTAGAACGCTTCCCCCTTGAAATTGCTTTTGCCAGCATTTCAGCAGGTAGAATGCTTCCCAGCATTTCAGCAGTTTGAATGCTTCCCCCTTGAAGTTGCTTTTTACACAAGCATTTCATCAGTTAGAATGTTTCCCCCTTGAAATGGCTTTTTACCAGCATTTGATCAGTTAGAATGCTTCCCCCTTGAAGTTGCTTTTACACAAGCATTTCAGCAGTTAGAATGTTTCCCCGTTGAAATTACTTCTTACCAGCATTTCAGCAGTTAGAATGCTTACCCCCTTGAAATGTTTTTTTACCAGCATTTCATCAGTTAGAATGCTTCCCCCTTGAAAATGCTTTTTACCAGCTTTTCAGCAGTTAGAATGTTTCTCCCTTGAAATTGTTTTTCTACCAGCATTTCAGCAATTAGAATGCTTCCCCCTTGAACTTGTTTTTTACCGGCCTTTCAGCAGTTTGAATGCTTCCCCCTTGAAGTTGCTTTTTACACAAGCATTTCAGCAGTTGGAATGCTTCCCCCTTGAAACTGTTTTCTACCAGCATTTCCGCAAATAGAACGGTTCCCTTTGACATTGTTTTAACCAGCATTTTAGCAGTTAGAACGCTTTCCCCCTTCAAGTTGTACAGATATGTGCAAAAACTTGTGAGTACATATAATATATTATATAATCCCGATGGGATACATAGAATACAAAATCGATAATTTCGGCCTCAACAACATCTCCCGGAATCGGTAAAAACACCTATACATAGAATAAAAACATCTTCCGGAATCGGAAAAAAACAACATATACATAGAATATTTCCGGCTATTCATTTTGATCCAGGAAAATAAATCTTTTCAGGTTTTTGACAGAAACATGGATTGCTGCAGCCGCCTGTGATTCAAACCTTTTCCGCAAAGGGACAACTGCGATTTCAGCATGGAAAGTGTGTTGCAACGCGTTTTGCTGGGGCAATCGCGGGGTGAACTATGAAAAAAAAAACATATTTTGCAATGAAAACAAATGGAATTGGGTGGTGTTCCTCTAAAAATTGATGAATATTTTCACTGCGGACCTAAACTCTATGTAAGTAATTCTTCAAGGAATTGGGTCTCTTCCATGTATAAGGGTATATATCATATACGTAATTCCCTTTGGGGAGTAGCAACCCTGGATGTCTGAAGTTCCTAAACTAGAACGTTTCAAAACTAGACGACGGTTGGCCCGAGAGCGAAAAAGATGTGTTTCAAGCAGCTCTGAGTATGGTAGTCGTAAAAGATAGTCGGTGAATAGTTGGTGAATTTTATTGGTGAATTTTAAATGAGCTATGGAAAGACATGATGTAAAAAAGTAAAATTGATCAAGAAGAGAATATTGGGTAAAGGGCATCAGATGACATGTGTCGTGGAACCACAGAGAGAAAGAGGGGGAAGAGATAAAGAGAGAGAGAGGTCAGACGCATTTCCACACAAAGACCTTTGAGATACAAAAGAAGCTCGGCACCATGATGCCGTGGATGACCTTAGTTGCAAACAAAGGTGAGCAAACATAGTCGCAATGGAAATGCTACAAAATGCAAAAGTACACAAACAAAGGCTCCGTAAGAAACTAGAACTCCGTGCAAGAATGCTGTGAATGATAACAAGTTCGATATCATGATGGCAAGGATAACACCTGTTTCACTGCATTTCTCCGATGTCCCTACAGGATGGAAAAAAAAAACTTTACAGACAAACAACAGTTGGCTACTGGTTTTGCATGTTCGTCACGA